GACTTCCCATGCCGCGAGTAAAATCCGCGCTCCACAAACCCAACAGGATGGAAGGGTCATCTGATCGCCTTGTTGTACAGGGAACAACATAAGACACGGGCGTCGGAAGCGGCTGCGGAAGCGAACACGGCGTTGGGGGCGGTCGGACACCTACTAGCAGTCATCCAATCTCTGCCCACCACGCAGCGGCCGCGCTGTTCACCGCCAGACGAACACGATAGGAAGCCATACCAGAGCAAGATTCAGTTGGGCAGCCGATGGTTGCCGTCGATAGAAAGAAGTTGTTACGTCAGGGTCCGGCCAAGCTGCACGTCGGGAGCGTTCCGATGCGAAAACACCTCCTGTGATTGGCCAACCGACAGCTTCACAAGCCCGCCTGGAGCCCGCGCCAGCGCGGCGCTGCGCCGCTGTGGAGCAGAAGCTTTTCCCCGGATTTTCAGCGGCTTCGACGGCGCCTTGGCTCTGAAACTAGCCCTGTCTTGGCGGTGCAACTACAGTCCACACTTCTCATCAAAGGCAAAGAGAGAAAAAAAAACACTGGTACCTATCCAATTCCAACTACCTTATTTTGCTGTGAGATTTTGTAACAAGAAAAAGCAACAAAAAAGGAAACCCTCTCCATCTACTGATTGCCCAACCACTCTTCGTAGCTATATGCCTCAGGTTCTTGAGGCTCATCATACTCATCTCCATACCCATACCCACCATCCCCATACAGGTCATCCTCCCCCGTGGCCCCGAGAACATGTCCGTACGGATACAAGCCGTCGTCATCTTGATCGGCCTGTCCCATGAGATCCATGTACCACGCCCACGGGTGCTCAGCCTGCTCAGCCTGCTCCGCACTTCCCGTCCTCTTCAAAGCCGACGGGATGGCGCCCTGGTGCTGCCTCGGCGGCGACTGTCCCCTCTCCAACGGCTCCCTGAAACTAATGTTCCTCGCCCTCTTCCCAAGAGTTTGTATAGGGATCGCTCGCCTGTCAGCCTCAGCCTTCACCTCTTCATTTTCGTTTTCCAATCGCGTCGTTCTAAGGTAGGTCATGTCAGTATCTCATGCGATCACACGTCCCAGATAATGAATGGAGACACTTACAGGCGCCTATACTCCTTCTCAGACCTCGCCAACTTGCCCAATTCGGCTTTGATCTCTTTCCATCTCCTCTCATCGTGTCTATTTCCCATCTGTGTTAGCGCTACCTCATAATGGGGGAATACTAGGCGTCGAAAAACTTACTTGCTCATCTCTCCATTCGCGCTATTCTTCTTCTTATCCCTCAACACATTCAACCGATCCCTCTGCTCCTCCTTCTTCCTCACCGTCTGACTAACAAGAGCTAGCAATCGTTGCCACTGATTGACCGGCCCGTCCCCAATCATCTGCTTCACTTCATCATCCCACTCGGCAATAGCCTTGAACTCCTCCTCCAGCACCTTATCCTCTTGGGCGATCTGCTGTTCCGTTTCCTTGTCAGGCTTGTACGTGCCGTCCTCGGAGTCTCTTCTCTGTCTCTTCCCCGGGGGCTGCTTCGTGGCACTGGTATCTGGCGGCAGCTTTCGTTTCCCAGGCTGGTTCACCGCGGGGGTCTCCTCATCCTCATCAGAGACAACGAGGAACTCGTCGGATGATTCGGACGTCTCGCCGGTGGGGACATAGTCGGGATCCTCCTCTCGTTGCTGACGCCTTCGCCTCTTTTCCTCTTTTTCCCTTATTCTTTGCTTTTGTTCCTCGGTCAGCGGACGACGTGCAGTCGGTTTCTTGCTGGACGTTGTAGGCTGTGGAGCTACTGGAGGCTGTGGAACCACTGGAGGTTGCGGAGGTTGTGGAGGATCAGGACCCCCCGTTGGTGGTTCAGTCTGCTGAGTACCACCACCACCACCATCACCATCGTTTTCATTGTCGCTAACTGGAAAATCGTCAACCTCACCCAGACCAACACGGCCTGGTCTAATCCTCGTCGTCCTCAGTCCCCACTGGTTCCCATCATGTCCCAGTCCCTCCATGATCTCCTTGTACTGCCACGGTTTCAACCCCTGTGGAAGCCCTCTCATCCCGATCCGTCTTTCGATCTGCCCCACCATGTGTCTCTGACTGACAGTCCGCATGTTCTCCCGCATGGTCCTAGGGCTGAAGCGCTGCCCCGGAGCCCTATACGGTCCTTCATCCGGAAATTCAAACCGATCGGGCTCGTCTCCCGAGTTGTCGTCCTGTGACGAGTGATAATCTTCCAGGGCACC